GGGTGGGGCCTGGAGACAGTGGGTGGGGCCTGGAGACAGTGGGTGGGACCTGGAGATCAGTGGGTGGGGCCTGGCGACAAGTTATCCCACTTTTTATCTTCTGAAGGGATTTGAGCAGAGGGAACTTAAAACAGGTTACATGCTTCTTAATTTCCTTAGTCTTCTTTTGGCCTGTTGACATTTGTACCGGGGTTGACGGCAGCAAGTGATTTACACCTGACAGATCGGTGGGCCTTCACAGTGGAGTCATTCCCTCCCAGCGCCTCAGCTCAGCCCCCTCACCTCTGCCTTCCGCAGGAGCCCCTGGCTTCCTTGTTACCACAGCCTGAGGGACCCCGGGCCAGACGAGCTCTGTGCTGAGAGGCTTACGAACCTCCCTGCCCTTGAGCTTCGTATCTGAAGGGTCCAGTTGCTTCTCGAGTTCACTAGAGCCGCTTCCAGCCCCGACCTCAGACTGCTCCCAACAGTTACACTCAGCTGTTTCCTTGCTGATGATTTCTTGTTCCCAGAAAAAGAAAAAACCAAGCAGCAGAAACAGCGAGAAGACGAGTTAATCCAGAAGATCCACAAACTGGTGCAGAAGCGAGACTTCCTGGTGGACGACGCCGAGGTGGAGCGGCTGCGGTGAGTGTGCAGGGGGGCGCGCCCGGTGCTTCCCAGCCTCCTGCTCCTGACACTGGGCGGTGCCCAGCTGGCATGGCCTGGGCAGACGCCCCGAACACTGGACCAGCCGTCTGGCCTGGGGACCCATTTCCCATTCAAGAGGAATGCAAAGCCAGTTCCAAAAAGTCTTGCAAAAGCCAGCGGGTCTTAAGTAAAAGTGCTTTGAGAAAGTGGCCAGTGAGCTTTCACAGCACATAACACACTCTTCCCCTTGCATTCTCCCAGTCAAAGCAACTTCTAGAAACTTCTATCATTGTCGACAGAAACCCTGTCCCCTGCACTGACTTGCTCTCTTGCCTGCCATCTACAATTCCCAGCTTTGCTCTGTCCTTTGCTCTCAGAGCTTTACCCCGGTGCCCTGCGGACCTTTCAGGTAAGATGCCACCTTGCTTGGGTCAACCTGTCCCTGGGCCACACTGCACCTGCAGGATGCTAAGGAGGCAGGTACAGGGAAGTGTGAATGGTGAATATTTTTGTCCTGAAGTAAAGCTTGTGGGGCTTTCCATAAGGAGAGGGGCTCACTGACCTCTTCCAACCCAGAGGACAAATTTCACTTTATTTTCTGGGTCTCGCTGGCTCCTCTGAGGACCCTGGAGCACCTTGCCTCCCTCAGTCAGGCTGGGCATTGATGTTGCTCCTGGTGTCACTTGGAAGAGCTGGCTGACTTGCTCTCCAAGACCTGCCACACAGCTCCCAGCGTCAGAGCGACTGAAAGGCACAGGCCAGTTCAGTGAGCCTGGTCACTAAGGCTGGGTCCGGCAATATCCCTGCTTCTGTTCTGGTCACCCTAACACCAGATCGGCATTAGTCCTTCCTTGACGTGCACCGCTGCTTCGGAGCAGGCTCGTAAAACACAACATACACACGTCACCCATCAACATGCACCAATCATCTATACATGCACGTACACTCACACAAACACAACACTCACGACCCACGCGCACATAACACAGCTCCCTCCCACCACCGACACGCAGCACCCTGCACATGTAGCATGCCTTGTGCACAACCACACAGAGCACACAACACACCCACACCATCTGTCCATGACACACACCAACAAGGGCACCCACACAGAGCACACAACACACATGCGTCACCACACGCTCATGAACATGCATGTGCCGACACACATAGCCCGCTCCAGTCCCACGTAACCCTGTATATACGTTACATAAAAGATGCAGACCGTGCATCACCTGCGTCAAAACTCATGGACTTCCACGCATAACACACCCTTGGGCACGCCACACGAAACAACACACACGCCAGCCTCACGTGGCACACGACAACATCGACACACCACCCACAAAGCCTGACACGTGTTCTCGCACCCTGACTCCCCGCCTCGCCTCACGGGTGCGTCCGTGTCTGCGTTTCTTACTTACTTTCTCTCCGCCTCTGTCTTCGCAGAGAGCAAGAAGAAGACAAAGAAATGGCTGATTTCTTGAGACTCAAGTTAAAACCTCTAGACAAAGTATCCAAACCTCCAGCCAGTGAGTGCATATAGTCTTCCTTCTCCTCCCCCATTCCAGAGTAAAGGGCATTTAAAAGTGGGAGCCAGAGGAGATATGACAAAGCGCGCCCCAGAGAACAAGCATGAGAGCAGGCCCGCAGCCTGCCGGCCGGCCTGGTGAACACCACGTGCCGTGTCCAGGCCCCTGACGGGTGCCACGTTTGCCTTCACGACTGTGCTGTCCTGAAGTCAGTCCGTCATGACCGAACCAGGGCCCTGCGTTTCTGCACTGGCCATCGCGGCTCACTGAACACACAGTCTGGTGTATTTCATAGAAGGGGCTGAGCGGCCCCTGAAGCCAGAAGGTGGGGGCTGGGACGCAGGGCCTCGGCCTCTGGGGAAGTTGGGATTTCTGGAGTAGAGTCAAAAGTCTGTTTCTCAGAACAGCAGCCTCATGAGGGACTCAGAGAGTGAAGGTTTCTTGTGAGCTACCTTTGGGAAAGGCTGTGCAGTTGACCTTTATTTGGAGGGTCCCGGGGTTCATCAGCATGTTGCAGTGGCCGTATGCTAGGAAGGAAGCTGTCCTGCTGGCAACGAGCTGACCCAGTGAGCCCACTTTCAGCTGTACACATTGGGTGCCCCATTTAAACTGGCCTGATTTGTTGGAAGAAAAGCACCAAAAAGTAGGCTTTAGGGACCAGACACTGTAAGAACGCCCCCGCTTTCCTTCCATATCTCATTTCTGTCCTTCTCTGCATTTTCCTGGGGGCCAGAATTCCAGAACCAGTGCTTAACAGTAGCCAGGCAATGCCACAGATTCTCTCTCCTGGAATCTAAATATATAAACCTTGGGAAAGATTCCGACGGGGCCACCTTGCACCATCTGCCCGCCTCCTTGGCTCTTCCCTGTCACCAGTAGCCTACAGGCTGTGACTGGCCAGTTCTGTGTCACAGGCCTGCTCCTGTTGCCACAGGGGTGGGGCTGTTACACATAGAAAGGCGTGGAAATCTTGCTAGAAAGACAGACCCCAAGCTGCCATTATCGTTTGCAAATTCAGCTTTCCCTGATCCTCCAATGGCATCCTGTGACGTGGTTGTAGATGGTGAGCGGAGAAAGAGGGGCGCATGTGTCCCTCAAATCACAACACAATGGGTTCTCTTCCAGGAAAGGCAAATTAGAAACCCCCACCTCCCAGTGCAGGGAAGGGACAAGGAGACTTGCCGTCGATGCAGGTGACTTGAGCCGAATGTCCCACTGGCCTGTGCCGCAAATACACAGATGCCAGGCTCCCTGCATGGCAGGCAGACACTAGAGAGGAACACACTGCAGTTGTAAGCCAAGGACTAAACATCTGGGCCCCTGGGCGCTGGGAACAGTGACCAGAACCATAAGGCACGTAGCAGCTTCCCCCCCACTGATCTGGGCAGCCGAGCAAGGCCTGGCCAGGGTGCGGGAAGGGCTGGGGCCGGGTGGTCGGGCACGCCTCGGCTCACCGGCCTCTCCCCACCCTCCCTCCCTCCCCTGTGCTCTCCCGTTGCTGCAGGCTCCCGGGCAGAGAAGAAAGCCGAGCCCCCACCTAGCAAACCCACAGTGGCCAAGACGGGGCTGGCGCTCATCAAGGACTGCTGCGGGGCCACCCAGTGCAGCATCATGTAGCCCTTCCCCGACGCAGGGCACCCCCAGGGCCATGGGGACCCCCCTCCCACCCTCTTGTCTTCACAGCCCCCGTTTCGCTGGGGCTCAGGAGCTCGCCGAGGTGGAAGGGGTGAAGGCCAGCCGCGACTGCCGCCTGGGCCTGTACAGAGTGTAGCGTAGGGAGCCTCCCCGTCGCATGCCAAACCCAGGAGTCTGTCTCTCCGTCTCTCCTACCACCAGGAAAGGTCCTCCCTCAAAAAGTGTATCTCCACTTCTCTCTAGCTGTATCAACCCACCGTGCGAATGAACCGGGCGAGGGGCATGATCCCCAGGTGTGTGTAGTTGTGACTTGTCAACGACCTAGCACCACGTTGGACACATCCCCATCAGCCCCGACCCCTCTGTCTGCAACCTGGCCGTGCCCAGAGACCCCCCGCGGGCAGCCAGTGCACCCTGGAGACAGAGGAGCTGGCTTTAGAAGAGACTGAGCTTTGTGGGGGGTCAAGTCTCGCTTTGGCTCCCTCCCTCCCTTGCCTGCCCCTGGCGTGCTGAGTGGAGCAGGGATGGGGCGTGGGCTGGATCACCCGCAGGCCCAGAGGAGGGAGCAGAGGCTGGAGGCGCCAGGGGAGGAGGCTGGGAGCCCCCAGCAGAGGCTGCGCCCTTCCCAGCGGGGCCCTCCCCAGCCTGGCACCCAGACTCCAAACCACGGCCCACCGCGGCGGCGGGAGAGGGGCGACCCAGGCGTGTCCCACCACCAGACTGCCACCTCCACCGTGTGGCTCGATGTCCACTTGCTACGGCCAGCTCGGCACGGCCCGTGTGACCTCTCTGTCCCTGTGTGTGTCGTGACCGGCCTCCGTAGTTAGCGTAACTCGAGATCCGCTGATGTGCGATCATCCATCGGAGAAAATAAAAATGGAAACCACGTCCATGGCATTTTTAAAGTTTTAACTTTTTCTTGACTCTGGAAGTCATCTGTGTACATAGTAAATCACTGAAAAGTAGAGACGGTATAAAGTAGTTTTTTTTCCCTTTGAACTTGTAACTCCTCCCCCTGGAGACTCTGACATTCGGACACTTTCCTGCCTGTCTTTTTTTTTCTCCCCACGATCAGCATCACCTTTGCCCTCTTCTAACCCTCTTCTTCGCTCACTGAGCATCACAGTGGTCCTTCTCCCGCACCAGTACAGGCTCCTAACACTGAACACTCGGAAGATTCACAGTGGCTCTTGGTGTCCATCTGCTGGACACAGGAGTGTTATCGCCCTACAGGAGGCCGGTCTCCAGGTTCTCACCATTGTAACTAACGTCCCCATGAGCATCCTAGAGGGTGAGGTTTCATTTCAATTTCTGGGTTTTCCTTAGGGTGAGCTCCTAGGAGTGGAATCTCGGGGCCATTCATGGGCCCCATTTTGCAGAATATTTCCAGTTAGTCTGATCTTCAAGTCACGGCAGCTTTGCAGTTGACACAGCCTCTCTGGTGAAGACCGGGGTCTCGGGGCCCTGGCCTGTCCAGGTGGAAGCATCCTCACCTGGCCAGATGAGTCTGTGCTCCTGAGCAGGCATCCAGACGTGGGCTCACCCCACGTCCTGCCACTCTGAAGCTGAAGAGGCTCCCTGGGGCCATTGCCAGGGCCGCCATGCTGGCTCGGGGTCACCTGCTCCCCTTGCTGTCCTCGACCAGGCGTGAGAGCAGAGGGTAACCCAGGGCTGCCACGTGTGTGACAACAGGGAGGCTGCACACAGCCAAAGGCGTCCTCTCCCGGGGCTGCAGGCCAGAGGGTGACAGGCCGGGCCTCTCTGAGGGCTCCTGGGAAGATTCCTTCCTTGCTTCTGATGGATCCTGGCTCTAGCCATTCCTGGCTTCCGAGCTCCGGTCTCTACCTCCATCTTCACGTGGCTTTCTCCTCCATGTGCACCTGCAGCCTCTTCTTAGAAACATCCCAGTCCCTGTAAAGCCTACCCTAACCTGGGCTGAGCGCCTCTCAATCCTTGCTTTTATTGCTTCTGCAAAGACCCGACTTTGGTTTTTTTTTTTTTTTTTGCAGGGTGTGAGAGGACTCACCAGAGACAGTGGGGAGCAGAAATACACTGCTGAGGGGAGCAGCAGGGAGATGGGAGCGGTCTGCTGCACCCTGTGGGTCACTCCCAGTGGGTCACTCCCTGGCTGGGGATCGCACTCAGGCCATTGTGGTGACAATGCTGACACTTAACCCCTAGGCCACTCTGGAGGCCCCAAGACCCAACTTTGAAACACGGTCACATTCTGGGGTTGCAAGTAGACATGAGTTTGAGGCTGAGGGTTCATGAGACAGACCCTTCCTGCTGGCAGTAAAACCTCAGGCTGGCAAGTGTCCCCCACTCACCCCAACCTGCAGGAAGCATGGTTCTGGGGATCTGACCTGAGCACAATTAGAGAGCAGTCACTCACAGATCCAGCAAGCGGGAGGAGATCGAAGTTCTCATTAAAATCCTGCTCTAGTGCAGCCGCTGAGCCCTGGGACTAATTCCTGTTCTTTGCTATTCCTATCGATTTTTCTCAAGCCAGAGAATGCCATTTATTTAGGTGTTCACCGAAGAGAGCAATCACTTGCGAAGCTCCGGAACACCCAAGCTGCCTGTCCAGCTGGTGAGCTTTGCAGACCGGGGCCTCCCAGCCAGACCCCCAGACCCGCGCCTCGGGGAGGAGAGCAACAGCTGTGATGGTCACCGAGCCGACGGCGTGTGCTGTCCTGCAAGGGCTCTTTCTTGTCCACTCCTCACCGCTGCCCCACCAGACCCGGGATCCGACCATGTCGCCTGGGCTGCGTGACGCCCCCTCTCTGGGGCAGTGTGTCCTCAGAGGCTCTCAGTCCCAGCTCCCAGGGAACATTCCCACCCTTGCCCCTAAGTCCCAGCGTGGAGTGTCCCGGGCCTGGCCAGGTTCACCTGAGGGTCCCTGCTGCTTCTCTCAACCATGCATTTCAGCAGTGCATTTCTGCTCCCCACTCTGTCTGGTGCGAGCCTCTGCTTAATCAAGCTGGGCTGAAGGTGGGTCTGTGGCCAGGGGGTTAGTTGGCAAGTTGGAGGCGGAGCTGGGCTTTCTGAGCAGGGTAGGAGTTTGCGAGGTCACCAGCGAGCACACCAGGGCCACGTCAGAACTCAGGGCCCTGCGTGAACCCAGGCTGCCCAGCTCCTTCTCTCTCTGGCCTCTAGTCCAGTCCCGCAGCAGCGAGGCCTGGAAGGGTGCAGCCAGTGCTTCACCCAAGACCTGATTGATGCCACTCAAACAGCAACTGCTTACCCACAAGAGGAGGAAGCAGGGCGGCAGCCCCAGGCTCTGAGGCCCTGGCCCGGCCACTTCCTGTCACAACTGGCCCACACTCCAGCCTCCGTCTCCAGAGAGGCCCAGGGGCCCACTCAGCCCCGTGACGGTGAGTCACTTTGAAGAGCTGTCTTTGAAGCAGTACAAAGAGCCCTTCTCCCCCTTGACTCGGACTGGCCGATGTGGCCACGGTTCCAGCAGCTTTCCCCCTGTGTCTGCACGCTTTTGTTCCTGGACTTTGAGGCCCAGCCATCATGTCCTTTACCCATAAATCCTGCAGCATGTCTTCAAGAGCAAGGGCGCTCCCTGTCCTGGCGCAGAGCGATCTATAAAGTCTGGTATGGACGTCCCATGGGCCCTCAGGCCGCCCACCCAGGGTCTGGCTGGGGGACGGGGCTGCTTCCGGTGCCCCGCCTCCTCGGCCTCCTCCTCCTTCGCCACGGCGTTGTGCACGTTTCGGGGTACATCAGGGAGAACCCCCACACAAGGTCACCATCAAGCTCACCCCTAGAAGCCCCTTTGTCCCGGCCCTCTGGTGGCCATGAGTTGGTCTTATCATCCGAAGAGTCACTTTCGTTCTGTTTAGATTCTCTGCGCCTTGGTTTTCTCTCCGTCCCCCACACATGCAAGTGGAATCCTGGGGTGTTTTTCTTTCCCCATGAGAGCCTCATTGTAGACGTGTTTCCGTGGTGTAGCCAAGACTCCCCAACTGCTACCTGTGTCTCCCTCCTTTAGCTTTGCCCAAAGCTCTTGACTTCATCCGTCTCTGGTCACTGAAGCTGTGTGTGTGGGTTCTCCCCGATGCACCCCGAAATGTGCACAACGCTAACATGCGGTGTTGCTGCTGCAACAATAAAAATGCTCGTGTCTGCTGGAACCACCGGCCTGGGCTCTCCCAAACTGTGAGGTCGTGGAGGAGGAAGCACAGAAAGAAGCTGAGGAGACGGGGCACTCCCCAAGCAGTGTCCTTCTCCCCAACCCAATGGGGTGTCCCATTTAACTCCTGTCTGACTTTATGTACCTGGAGAGAGCACCAGGCCCTCTGAGTTAGGACCCACAAAACAGCCCCCCAGTTTCGATGCCAATCAGAAGTAGCCCCTCTCTCTGACATGGTTAAAGCTCAAAAGTGGCCGTGACCCACCCCTCAGCTTGGAGTCATTTGCCAGGGTGGCTCACAGACTCCAGCCTCATCCCCACCGCCCAGGGCAGGCGGAACAGGGTGCAGAGGAACAGCCAGGTGAAGAGGGACACAGGTGGGCTTGGCTGCCGTCCTCGCGGAGCTGAGATGCGGCACCCTCCAGGGACAGACGTGTTCACCAGCCCAGAAGCTCTCCAAGCCCTCTCTGGAGGGAGAGGACTGAGCGTCATCCAGGAGCCCATGGGAGCAAAAGACAACCTCGCGCTCACATTCTTATCAGACCCCTGAATTAAGAAGCAGGACTCCGGCGGCACCTCCTGCCTAAGCGCCGCACGGCGTCCTGCTATCGAAGAGGCAGAAAGGGAGAACGTTCTACACTGGGGTCCTGGCACCCAGCTCGGGGACTGGCACCCAGTGGGGGCTCAACCGAGCCTGGCCTTGGGAGCTGTGTGGACCAGGGCTTCCTGCCCAGCCCCACCACGGAGAGACGTGGGCAAGGGCTCCTCTTCTCCGGCCTCCCGCTCCCCATCTGGAAGTCTCAGGCAGGGAAGGGGGTGTCAAAGAGCCCCTTGCATCTTGAAGCGTGGTTGCCGACCCCTACGCCAGGAGCTGCATGGCTTAGGCCGCCTGTCACTCACCCACTCGCTCGCCAAACACTTGAGCTCAGCGAGGTGGGTGCGGGCTGTGTTCTGTTTGGAAGAATTGGCCAGGGTGATGGGGGCGGGGGTCACTCTCTGCTGAGGTCACATGGTACAGGGCTCCCTCCTCTCCTTGTTGTGCAGGCTCCCCAGCCTGGAGAGCGCCCCCCACCCCTTGAGGGCTGGCACTGAGCTGCAGGTGCGGGGGGTGGGGGGGGGGGGGGGCAGCCCCTGTGGGGGGCGGTGGGGGTGAGGGGGGCTCAGTGGCACAGCCCCAGGAAATGGAAGTACTGTCAACCGTGAAAGCTTGAAGGTGGGTTCTGACTCCATCAGGCCCCCAGAGGACAACATGGCTGGCCGAGGCTGTGAGACCCTGAGCGGGGAAGCCTGGGCCGTGGCTGCACTTGGGACCCACAAACGGTGAGATGATGCTGGTGTGTATTTAAGCTGCTAAGTTAGTAGGAGCTGGTTACACAGTGATAGAAAATGAATACAATTAAAATGAAATCAGGCTCCAGGGAGCAAAACCGCAGAACCCCCCGCCTTTGGGCTTTGCTGCCGAGGCGGGAAGACTGAACAACCTCACACACACACAGACACACGTACACAGAGTTATTTCACTTATTATGAAAGAAAAGTACAAGACACTGGAAAGCGAAGGAATGTGCCTTGTGGAGGCCCAGCAGCGGGTAGGTCAGAGAAAATGCCCTTGAGAAAATGGTATTTGAGCCAGACCTGAGTGACGGGGAGAATTCACGGGGTGCAGATAACAAGGATGTGGAATAACCTTTTCAGGCCCTTAGTTCCTGTAGCTCATTCAAGACATGGAACACCTGTTTTGATTATCCCCACTTGCAGGTGGGGGAGGGCCTGAATAGTTGGGCCAGCGGTGGCCCCAAATCCCAGGA